CCTCTTTTTGAATCTATATATACGAATACCATATATATATATATATATATATAAAAAGATAAAACACTACATAAATATGTATAACGTAAGTATAATAAACATGTAAATGTAAGCTATACAACTTAAGTTGTTGGTCAAACAACTGATATTATTTACATAAGAATCACCACAAAAGGTAGTCATAAAAAGACATTTGGCTTCAACACCACTGAATTGCCTCCACTGCATGACTCCATACCTACCTAGCTCTCATGCCAAATCGTAATCCAAATCACATGGAAACATGTAAGGATAAGGTAGAATATAAAGAACAATAGGTATACAACATAAAAACATCAACAAATTTAATGCATCATCACATCTCCAACACTGACAACACAAGACATCACAATATGTACCAACAACACATATCAACATAAACACATAGTTTCCATCACATTAGTACATTTCATCACAAATCAACACAACATATGAACAACACAATTACATCAACACATCATATGCACAAAACGACAATTATATGTGTTGTTACACATTTCAATTGGGAGATCTCCTATAACACAGGGTAAGCAGTATAAGTGGCTTGACCCTACCGAACCAACAACATAGAGTGATCTTTTTGACTAGCTAGATCAACAACAAATTGGATATAAATTCACAATACAACAACTTGGTTTATAGGATAATACCACTTAAACAAGGAAGTCTAGTACTATTGTCAAGGTAGAACAATTAGGTATGGGTCAACCACAACTAGGTTAACTAAGTCTCCTATGAGATTGGCCCACTAACTACCTTCCAAATACTACGTCTTTCCGATACTTAGTTAGGAACTAAGTTCCCAACTTCGTATTTTACTCGGTTGATCACCTATAATTAGTATAACTCAATCTGACCCCTATACTACGGTCACTTTATACATGTGTTTCTCGATCTTACCTACACATGATACCAACTAAGTCCTAGATGAGATTCAACATAACTATCCACTTCAAGGGTTAACTTCCCAAAAAGGATTTTCAACAAAGTTGGGCTCTTAGAGGACCACAACACAATATCCACACAATGGAATATGTGACTTTTGAAAATGTCTCCTCTAGTCCTAGGTTAGTCATCATGGCTCAACAACACAATAACATTTTACATATTTAACACAACATCATAATCAACATACAACTCTACATCTCACAACATAATCATCACTAATCATATTCTACTTCTCAATCATCATTCCTCTCAATTGAACAACATCATGCATATAAAAATCCCAACACAGCTACACAAGTACACAACCTACTACTCGTCTCTACTTTCAACTAAGAACTCGATCAACAATATGCAATAATTAATCATATCAAATAACACATTTTCTTTCAACCATCAATGCCCGACACCACACACCCAACGTCTGATGCTATCTAGGTAGGGAGCTCTCTACCTCACCCATACTCGATAGTACATAACCAATGCCCAACGTGGCTAAGACATAGGCCCTTGAGACCTCGCGCTCGACATAGAAATGTCCCACAATCAACCTCATTTTAGGTAGAAAGTCTCTGCTTGAATCATGATTGGTGTCATCCAAGTAGAGAGCTCTAGCTTGGCCATGTTGGGCACCACTCAACCTTGGGTCTGACATCACTAAGTCAGAAATCACTCAAGGTTCACATGCTTGATGCCATTCAAACCACACTTGGTGCCATCCTAACTCGATAGACAAGTCCCTCTCTTCGCGCTTGGCACCATCGATCTTGCGCTCAACATGATCAAGATAGAGAGTCTCATATTGGAACGATGTACATTGCCATGAAGGCGCGCCCAACATGACCAACAATTTGCACTTATGTAGATTATAGATTTGGCTCATCCCACCTGAAACTCAGCAATTTCCATGTATGAAACACTACAAATCAACTATACTCATTACAACTAAATGGAAAATACAATCAAATTCAACATGCAACAACAAATGTACATAGAATCAACATATTTTTTTTGTGGTAGTCTAGGATTACATAGAAACCATAGAATCATTACATTTTAGGTATCCATTATCCTCACTCTGAATTGGTTAAATATCCAACCAGGTCCAATTAGGATTTCATAGTTGCACATGGTATTCTCTTCTCAACATGTTAATGAGGAGATCCCAACTAGGAAAATCCTTAAAATCATGATAGATGACCATATAAACCTCTCTTATTGAATTCCTTCACTAAACCTCCAACAAAACTTATGCATGGTATGCATGACTCAAACATTTGTACATCATATAACAAATCTTAACTCACTTGCTAAGTCCTAAACTTAGTCTTAAATACTAGTTTCCACAAACTTAGTCTTATAAAAATATTTTTGTTAAGTCTCAAATTTAGTCTTATCATATGGAAAATCCATGGGCATAATCTTTCGCAATTCACATATCACATGTTATAATTAATCATCATCATTTCTAGGGATGGCAATGGGGCCCCATGGGGGCGGGTAATAGTAAATCCGCCCCCGCCCCGCTGAATGAAAATTGGCCCCATACTCACCTCATATCCGCCTGGGTATCCATTAAGCGGGTATCCATGAATTTCTTGAATACCCACGGATATTCATGGATATTTATAAAATTTTTAAGAAATTAAAAAAAATTATATTACAAATAATTTTAAGTTTATATTTTAATGTCATTGAAATATTAAAATTAAAAATTCAATGTTAATGTTGAACTATTATTTAACGTTAATTTTATTGAAATAATGATAAAAATTCAAGATAATCAATAACTTAAAATACATCAATCTCACAAGTAAGTTAAAGTCTCATCACAAAGCTACAATAATTCAATCTCATAATTCCAAATGAAAGTAAACAACTTAAAATACATAAATTTTATTGGTCCAATCAAAGCTAGAAAATTAATCAAATTACATCCAACATAATTTTATAACATGCTTAACACATGTCGGTAACTTTATCAACCTCACTTTTGTAAGAAAATAAGATGAGAGAGTGTAGTTTTAAGATTATGTAGTACAAGGATAATTAGGATATTTAAGAAATAATATTAAACGGGTACCCGCGGGTATGGATATCATCATACCCGCCCCCGCCCCATTTATAAGCGGGTAAAAAATTATTTGTCCCCATTATCCACGGGTACCCAATTAGCCTATCCATTTATTATCCGTAATGGATTTTATCCACAAATACCCGCGGGTGTGGGTATTTTTGCCATCCCTAATCATTTCTCATATTTATACAATATATATAAAGTAATTATCTGACAAGATTTCATATTTTATTATTCCTCAAGGAATCACATTCACATATTATAATTTGACCACACAATTTTGTTCATTTTCTTAGCACTAGCATGCTTATCTCAAGCATTATTGTGTTCAATTTTCCCTTCCCTAATTTTATGTAGCATGACCATGTTACTTAGCACAATTATGTTCACTTAGCACTACCAAATTCAATTTGAGAATGACTGTGTTTAATTCAGCATGACTATGTTTCCTTTAAGCTTGATCAAGCTCTGTTTAGCACAACTATATTCCCACTTAGCTCAATCGTTATCTCAAAACCAAAACCCTATACATGTGAATATCTATTCTAGAGTCACCATTATGATTCTAATTCCTATTCTTAGACTACAAATTACTCTCTTCTATTCTTAAGCATGAATTAACCTAATTCTACTATTTATTTAACACTTTTATACATTATCAAGGTGTTAGCATCAATTTCAACAAACAAGAATACCAAATCATAAACCCTAATCATACAATTTGGGAAAAATCATCAATTTCAATATCTCAACCAAAATTAATCCAGTTATACAATGACTAAACTAGGTCATCCAATACAATCAGTCAACAAAACTCTTTTAGGGTGTTGATAACCCCTGCCGAAAGCCCGTTTCGGGCCGGTGGCGACAATATCACATACAAAACAAAAATTTTAAGGAGACTTAGATTGTCTCAATATCCACAGTTTTAATTCATACACATATGACAATATCATCTTACTCCTTCTTACCTCAATAGAGCAATCTCTAATGTAAGGAGTATCATCTAAGGCTTTGTGTTCCTCTCCTCTACTTCCTCTGATATGTTTTCTCTACACATTTCTCAAAAGCATAAAA